TGAATACAGAGATAATTGTGATAAATATGAATTATAATATCGAGACACAATTATTTGTCATTATTTGCATATGAAAATTTAATAAAATGATACATTATTTAAGCTATTGATAATATCCGCAAATCTCATGATAATTATAGCGTTAATGTAAGAAACATTCACACAATTTAGAGTTAGACATGTCAGTTTCAAGATCAACAACTCTACTTTTAAAGCATTAACAGTATCAAATTTGTCTCGAATGTGTGAATAAATTGCAAACAAATTTATTTTATCTGTTGTAATAAATTTCTCGAAATCTGCTCTAAAAGTATCATTCGTCAAAATTATTATAGATTCGTTAATTTTTTCAATTTCATTATAATCGCAGGATCTAATAGGACAAATTTTATGTCATATTTATTTAAGATAATTTTATCCAGTCATCATTTACTCTGAATTTTCATAATCCTTTTAAAAATAAAAACTTCCATAAATCTAATATATATAACAACAATTGCATATGAAAAGTTAAAAATACAAAATTTAATACAAAATAAAAAATAATTAATAAAATAATACTTATAGTAATTTCTGTGAATAATAAAATATCGATCTAATTGTTAGGTTAGATAATGTATCGATCTAGTTATTAACCACATAGACATTGCTCGCTTCTCTAGTTTCGACAGTGCCGTAGCTAGACGTAATCTCAGTATCAAGTGCGATGGAACAAACATATTACAATCGATGAAAATGAAAATATAAGCACACAAATAAAAATACAAATAAGTTGAAAGGGAACTTTGAACATTTGCAATAGATAGGAAATATCTTAAACTTATTAATAACTTATATATAATCCATAATTAAATTATAATTTATTTATGACTAATATATAATTAACTTATAACTAATTTATAATTATTTTATAACTAATATTTGAACTTTGGTGCGTAGCTCTTGGCTTGGTTTCGTTTCCCAAAAATTATTCTTTGGGAAACTATACCAATTACCTGGTTTCACCACGTGGCGGTGACTACGCATCGAGACCTGACATGCGCCCTAGAGGCGCATCCTACTGGCGCTATCCGTATCAAAGATAGCCTAATCTAACTTAAAGCGAATTAAATTAAAGTGATTCTACTCACACATTATTTTATTTCGTATCTTACAAAAGGATTCGCGATTATTCGAAAGACCGACTAGCCTACGCGACGCACTCGCGTGTACAAGACAACTCCGGCCTCAGCACCCTCCCGATCGGGCCTTACCCACCCTGCCACTGCCGACCTCGCCATGGCTTACTCGATGACCTAAGGCAGCCAACGAACCAGTGAAACACCCAGAGACAATCCGAGGGTCCTATGCGAGGCCTAACAGTCGGAATCACGCGCATGCTCTATACCCCGGCTCTATGCAAACATAACCACATAACCACCAAGTGCTAGAGGGGCAGGCAGGCACGCTCTTGCAATGATTCCGACTGCAGGGCCCATCCCCCGGTCGTGTGCGCAGATTGGCACCCAAGACGACTAAGGTCGACGGACCCTTGTGTTGCACCAGATGCCTCACCAGCCCGAGGGCCACCAGAGATCCCGATGCATGACGAGATTGACAGTGGCAGAAATGAATGTCGGAGACGAGCCGTGAAAATGACTTACGAGGCGTGGAGTTGTCGAGTACACGGGAAGTACGTAGCGTAGGCTAGTCGATACTTAAGAACAATCGCGACTATCGCGAGAACAATTATGTTCTATTTGGTAAACGTGAGGGAAATTTGTATATATCGCTTCAAGTTAGATAGCTTACCTTTGTACAGATAGCGTACACATAATACTTAGTCTAAAGATCTATCTTATGACCACTTATAACTACTTAAGTCTAAACGCACGCATCCCGCGTCGCCCAACGATGTCTTGAATAACCTGAAAGCTGCAAACAAACGGATTAGTGACACATTAGTAAAACATAATAAATGCAAAACAAGTATAAATCACAAAGATGAATCAAATGGAATGAACAACCCCACGATGAGATATATACATCTCATCGATGAGACATAAACAAACAACGACGATACATTCGAATATTATACGAAATATTCGAATGTTTAAATAGAAATAAATGGAAACCAAAAAAGAAAATCTGAAAAGAGAAAAATAATTAAAACCGGAAAAGAAAATGCTATTAAATTATTTAAAAGGTGGGGTGTGGATGGATTGAACCACCCCAACCTCTTACGAGACTTAATCAACCCAACGATGAGATATAAATAAACCAACGATGAAACATTCGAATATTACATGAAATATTCGAATGTTTAAATAAAGATAAATAGAAACAGAAAAATAAAATCTGAAATTAAAAATAATTAAAACCTGTAAAAAAAATATAATTAGTAGCTGAAAACAAAAAAAAAAATTATTAATACCTGAAAACAAAAAAAAAATATTAAATGGTTTAAATGGGATCGGGTGAAGGTGGGGTGGCTAGCCCCAACCTCACTTCGGACTCTCACCCCTCGCGCGCAACGAATATTTAGATGTTACACTCGCGAGGTCGAACTGACAAATGAGTTTTGCTGCGTCGCGTCGCCCTTTATATAGACACCGATCGGCCGAGCTCCCCACCCTCATCGGAAATTTTCGAACTTCGCTAATTTTATTAATTATTAATTTTCCGCTCTCATAGCCAATAATGAAATAATTTTTTAATTTCTATTATAAATGTACGTTACGAACAATTTGTTATTAACAATATTAATTTGTTATAAACAATCGGTGCAATAATTTATAAACTTTTTGCAAATTATACGTACATTTTAACCCAATGACGTCATAAGTTCGAGTAATAGCCAATAATTTATTAATTTTTCCACATTTATAATAAATTTACGTTGCGAACAATTTGTTATTAACAATATTAATTTGTTATTAATAATAAGTTTGACTTTGTGAAGAATTTATTATTAACAATAAGTATAATAATTTATAAACTTTTTGCGAATTAAACGCAATTCAAAATTCACGCAAGCAGTGATTTTGCAAGAAAATGCAGGTTTTTAATTAGAAATTGTAAACATTGCTGAACAATGAAGCATCGTTATTTTTTCATATAATGCTCCATTTGTAATAACCTTGAACTGTCAGCTGTCACGCCATCCTTTTTTTTTCATTGGCAACATTTTACCGTACAAAAGTCGCAAAATTCAAATTTTGCGCGAATTTTGAGACACCCTATACAAAGGTTAAAATATTCCGATTGATATCATGTAAATCACGCGAACAAAGTTATACAAATTTATTACTCGCCATATTTAAAAACTTTAAAAAGCCCAAGTACTTTAATTCTGTTCTTATTTTCAAACTACATTAGTAACACACACAAATATTTATATAAAT